ATCCCAATCCTTGTTAGCAATGAGACATCGGTGATCATATTAGAGAATAGTTCGACTCAGATATCTGTCGGCTGATATAGCGGGTATATTTTAAGTTTTTGAAACATCCGCAATCAGCCTCAAGCTCTCTCCATTCAGTCCTCATGTATGTTGCATGTGTATGGCATGTTATACTCCTAGACTGTACATAGATGGACAATGCTAACCCTCAAGCTAAAGGAAGCACAAATGGGGAAGTGCTCATGGACGATGAGCCACTGGCTCTGGTTCCTATGGACCTACATTGCAAAGTAAACTCCTAGCTCAAACTCTGTTTGTGTCACTCACAAATCTGTGGCTCTCTTTGATCTTGATTTTTTGTAATTGTGTTTTTATCTATGTAAATCCAGGTGTAAACCACATATGCATTGCAAGGTCTATGGTTTTTACCAAGTTCTGACGTTACCACACAGTATTTGTTGTGTTATGGAACAGGCCAAATTCGGCTCCTGATTCTCTAGGGAACAACATAGCAACTAAGGAAGCAGCTACTGGAGTTGTGCAAGCCTGAAGCCGATGTTGGGGACAGAAGACATTGGGGTCATATCTGGATTTACAAAGACAATATTAAACAAAAACCACTCCGATCATAGAACACTAAACCGATATTTAGACTCTTGCAAAGCAAGAGACGTGAATGGAGCCAAAGCAAGTAGAAGAGAACTTTGCTGTGAAGGCTTCATAGAGCTTGTGTGTCAGGTTAGTCCAATCTATAGACTCTATTAGGCCCATTAAATATTATTTGTGTATTCTAACAAATGGCTCCTTTGTCATGCTGCATGTTTGGGATTAGTATTTTATCACAGCTGTTAATGTCCAGTCACGGTTTCTATTAGACTACATGTATAACCGATAGGTATCAAAAACATATGTAACGGGTTCATCTCTGCTGTTTCTTGTGCTGTCCGCATGATAGCATCTGCTCAGAGAATTTAGAGCTGGCATCAAGCTTGTCATTCAGACAAAATGAATAAAACATGGCTGCCTGTTTTTTCTCCTGTCAAAATTGTTGCCTTTGGTTGTCACAATTATACTAATTGTGTTAGACAACAGAGCAAGCATGGGTTTGCAATAATTGTATTTGTACTAAATATGGTTGACATGTTCTAACCATTCAATTCTATTGTCTTACATTATTCTGAGCTATATGCTTTGTTCCAGTCAAGGTACCATCACAGAACAACTAGAAATAAATACAAATTTAATTTCAACTTCCATTCATTTTCACTAGAATATTGCACAATCCCACAAAAGTATTATAATTTTAAGACTGTAAAAGAAATGAACTGAAGCTCAAATTTAGTCTGTCCATTAGCAGCACTGATCAAACAATGTTATGACTACAGTATAGTGATCAATGCTCTCAGCAGCAGCAGTAGCAGTCCCTTGTATGGAAGCTGGCACAGAAATGATAGGCCTGGCTCGGATCAGACAGACTGCTGCCCTGCTGGAGCCTGGCGCAGCATCCGGGCTCCAGGCGAATACTGAACCATATGGATCCATTCTGCCGGGACTGTTAGGACAGAGGTGTTGGGTTTTAATTCATACAGTGCAAATATATACAGCATGAAGGGTGCCTCTCAGGGTCCAATTAAATTTGAATGACACAAAAAATCTGATATTTGGGGAAAGTTATAAGTTTTACAAACACGGTGTGAAGAGAAGAGACGCATGGAGGATTAACGTCTGCGGGAGCTTAAAACTACGGTGATCAAAGAAGTAGGATATATACACAGCCGCGGCAGGACATGGCTAAAAGATCATGTTAGCTTTAGCGTTAGCCACAGCGCCCTATCTGCATCATGGTAAGAAAACAGAATATTCACTCACACCGGTGATAAAGTATTCTGGTTATTGTTTAGTGAGGATTCTGTGTGTTTTATTTGAGGCTTTGTCCCTGAAAAACTGAAAAAGTTGGATCGGTCAGAACATCCTGAGACTGTTGCAGATTCTGCCTCGTTCTTATTATTGTCAGTGTGAAAAAAGTTACATATGGTTCACGTGTGAGTCTGTTGTGTACAAACTACACAATGTGCCTCCTGTTGTGTTAATGCTGTCTTTCGGTGCGTGTGGTTTGCAATGTTGACAGTTTGCTGCTGCAACACAGGACTATGGACTTCTGCATAATTATTTTCCTAAAAGATTGTTGTTCGGATCGTTCTTTCACATAACTGTGGTCCTCCATGGTTCTTTTATATAACTGTGGTCCTCCATGGTTCTTTTATATAACTGTGGTCCTCCATGGTTCTTTTATATAACTGTGGTCCTCCATGGTTCTTTTATATAACTGTGGTCCTCCATGGTTCTTTTATATAACTGTGGTCCTCCATGGTTCTTTTATATAACTGTGGTCCTCCATGGTTCTTTTATATAACTGTGGTCCTCCATGGTTCTTTTATATAACTGTGGTCCTCCATGGTTCTTTTATATAACTGTGGTCCTCCATGGTTCTTTTATATAACTGTGGTCCTCCATGGTTCTTTTAAATAACTGTGGTCCTCCATGGTTCTTTTATATAACCGTGGTCCTCCATGGTTCTTTTAAATAACTGTGGTCCTCTATGGTTCTTTTATATAACTGTGGTCCTCCATGGTTCTTTTATATAACTGTGGTCCTCCATGGTTCTTTTATATAACTGTGGTCCTCCATGGTTCTTTTATATAACTGTGGTCCTCCATGGTTCCTTCTTCCAACTTGTGAAGGCACGGTGAAAGCAACGATATCAGTAGCTCATGTGAAACAAACACACGATTCTCGCATCCTTTTTTTCCCTTATCCACCACTGTTTTTCAAGATGGCGGATTGACACGGAGAGCACTCCTCTCTCATGGACACTTTTAAGTTAAATTCTAAGCCTGTGAATACAATTCAAAAAACATGGTGGAGGTAAATATTCTTAAAAAGGTCGCATTTGTTATTAGTGAACATGTTTTTTCATATGGAGCAGCAGTAAAAATTACACAGAGTGGCTTTAACTAAGTCCTCAGCTTAAACTGAACATGGACTGGGCTGGTTTTAAACATGTTCTGAAGCAGATGTGTGACCATGTATGACTCAAAGGATATACCTACATTTGTATTATATGAATGTAACAATTTAATGAGTTTCTAATTGTGCTAAAAGCGATTCTAGGTAGGGACTTTGCAAAATAGCCATTACTATAAATGTTGTAGTGTTTCACATGTGTGTTTCACTTTTTTCCCCCTTTGCTTATACACGTGGGCATGGATGGAGAAGCTGCTGATCTCCTTCCCACAAGTCTTATAGTCTCTCTCATACCAACCCCATTAACACTATAATGTTAATTCATCCTTTTGTAATTATCTAATGTTATAGCACAGTTTACGAATATCTCTTTGTAGAAGAATATCTTTAAAAGGGTATCCTACATCTGTTTCACATATACGCACCGGCCATGCATTTGGAGGGGGTGTCCAAAGCTTTTATTAAGAGGGCCACATTAGTTAACTAGACTTGTCCAGGGGCTGGCAACCCAGATGGTAAAACTGTTTTGACTGGATTTGTGTTGTTCTGACCTTTACAATGAGGTATGACCTATTGATTCATATTTGACAGAAGTTGGCTGAAGTTTGGCTGAATGACAAATGTTTACTGTCTCTCATTAGCTCCATATACATCATGTAATGACATAATCAAAAAACAATTTGCAAAATCTTCCCTGCATGTTTTGGACTTAGGACAAACATGAAGGATATTCAAGGTATCAGATTCAAAGATATTAAGGCCATGGCGACTGCTGTTATATCTGTATTGCTACACAACATCATTATCAAGAACTGAACCTTGTTTGTTCTGACCAACATTGCTAATAGTTTCTATATCTTAAGGGGTGTGCTCACTCAAGTGACGACGTCTCTGTTCTTATTCACATTGATACACATCATATAAAGAGTGTTGTCTTCTTTTGTTCTATCTGGAACAACTTGAACTGAAATACACTGAGGGTTAAAAAAGCTGCTGCCTTTGTCTCCTTTCTTGACAAAATGTCTAACCGAGCTAATAAAATTGGCAAAGCTGAAGTTGTGGACTTGTGTTTATAATGTCAAAGACTACTTTGGGTTAGCAAGGCAGAAGGCCGCAAATGGCCCACAGGCCTTAGTTTGGACATGCATGATTTGTTTGCAGATCTGTATTAACTGTGAGTCACTATATAAATAATACAATAAATACAAAATACCAAAATAGCCTATCTTCACAATAATGAGATCACAGTTGGATATGTATTTCAGCATATTTATAATAATACTTTTGTATCAGTAAAAGTCTACTGAGTTAGTTTCAACCTATTTCTGGGTCTGTATTTGCAGTGCTTTTACAAGATTTCTCAACCCTGACCCCATTTCCTTCCTGTTTGTTCTTACTGTGGCATTGCATTTACCAGCTCTGAGGCGTTATGAGACACAAAGACAATCGTCCACTGGAGAAAAGTACAGAATAAAATATGAGGAATGGCATTTACATTTCAAAAGGGGGAACACAATACCATGCGCTTGCAAAATCTCACATCCTCAATTCACCAGTTCTGCCACATCCTCTAAATCCCCGTGTGTGTAATAGACGTGTCTGTCTCGCGCCCCTTTCAGTCAGTGTGCTATCCTTTCTTTAGCTTGTCTATACTGTATATCAAGTTACGAGATAGTAAGATACGCAAGTGCAATATTTCAGGAAGCAGCTTTGTATAGACAGACAAACAGGGGAATCATTAGGTATGAGCTAAATGGATTTGCCTCATACACTTACCTGACATCCAGCCGGTATAAGGATTATTTGGTGTTATTTTTGCTCATATCACCAGACACACTTCTTGTAGTTTTAGATTCGTATTCAAATTTGAAATGTTCAAATGATAGCAGACAAAACCAAAGTTACTTTATGGCTTACTTTGTGGCTTTAGGAAATCACTGGTATCAGAATGTGTTGTTTATGTTTCCTTCCTCCAGCTCTGCATATGATGTGGTGCTGCGTCAAAAGGTGGCAGTGAAGAAATTGTCCAGGCCGTTTCAGTCCCTCATCCACAGCCGGAGGTCGTACAGAGAGCTGAGGCTGCTCAAACACATGAAACACGAGAATGTAGGCCCATTCTCTAATACTACTTATGTAATACTAATGTCAGTAATACATGTATCTATAGTGTAAACTTGTTTGCCTGTGTCTGTGCAGGTAATAGGCCTGTTGGATGTCTTCACACCGGCTGCTGCTCTCAAGGATTTTAATGAGCTGTGAGTCCAGCATATCTTATTTATAAATGTCCACGTCTTTTTGTATTATTAAAACTTGGATTGACATTGGTTATTTTGTGTTAATCATCCAAAATTACCAATAGTTACTACTCTGGATTTACCACCCTCAAATATCGTCATGAGCTTTGCCTCTAGACGTAGAGAGGAGCGGCCTCAGGTAACCCGTTCATCTACCTTTTCTAGGTATGTCTCGCAAGGAAGAGGCCCAGAGGAAAACTCAGCACTTTCCCAGTCCACACACCACTTCATTGTAAACAATGTCCTGCAAAACCGTAAGATCAATGCCACTCAGCGCCAGGCTCACAAGGCCTCCGAGTGTCACATCAGACAATTAAAACTGTTTACATCAGTGTGGTCTCTGTGCTCGACAAGTGATGTCCTTTATTCGCACCATGAACCAGATTTATTTAGAAAATATTTTTGCAGAACGATATTCTATATTGAGAGATCGAGATTTAGTCATAAATTATAATATCTTCTGTTAAATCTGTCTTATCTTCTGCCTCTGCTGTCATGGATTGATGATGATCTGTATGACTGACTCTTAGATACATTGTTATTAATACCAAGAGTGGAAATTTGCTCAGATTTTGACAGAAAGAAATAATAAATCAGCAGGTTTGATTAGTGGAAATTCTTCGTGCAGCTCGGGAAAGACACACAAATATCAATAGGGCTCAAATGTCTGATGTCTATAAATATATTAAACATGAATCCAATGTGTATGTAACTTTATTAGCAGCATAACTGTAAAAGTCCACACTGCTTATAACATTAAAACTCATTATAACCCAAAATAAGTGGAGCCCTAAGCTTGAGACGATGCAGTTTGTGGAGACATGACCGCTGAAGTTTATGGTCACATGTCCAGAATCTCCTGTGTAATAAATCCATATTCCAAAGAACTTATGGTGTCGGATAAATGCAGCTTCCTTGAAGTCGTAGGCTCCTGTTCTGTCTCCTCACGTGCTCTTTTATCTAAAGAAATGTTTTTCATTTGGAAGCACACCAGGAGTACATCAAACAAAGGTGGATGCGGCGCAAAGAATCCTGCCGCCTCTGAAAATACACATTATGAAACAAGTGATGAATAAAATAGAAATGTGTGTGGCCCTCTACCACAGCCCGCCCGGAGGTTGTTGCTACATGACCTGCCAGGGCACCATATTCTCTTGATGATACTGATCTTCGTCAGTTAAAGAAAAGCCAAATACCAAAATTGTGGAACATTCAAGTTCTAACATCTCCAATGGAACCACCAGAATATTTGCATTTTCTTTTACGGTTAGATGAATTTGCATGAATCAGTCCAGAACGGTATACAGTGTGACGATCCCATATGTATCTCCTCTCTACTCTGCATGGCTCCTTCATGGTGATGGGGTTCACAGACTTCTGGAGATGTCTGCTGGTTTCCATGGCAGCCCGTGTTCCCTTCCCCCTTATGCCCCGCCCTCCTGTGATGCTGCTCTTCACTTCTAACATCTTTGTCTCCTTCTCACCACAGATACCTGGTGACAAATCTGATGGGTGCCGACCTCAACAACATTGTTAAATTTCAGAGACTGTCCGACGAACATGTACAGTTTTTAATCTATCAGCTCCTCCGAGGGCTCAAGGTAATTTAGCGCGCCACTAATACTGCTGTATGTGCATTATGATACTTATAATCCTGTGTAATGGGAATGCAGAGATTAGCAGTCTTTGTAACCTGTCTTTTAAATGTTAGGATGTTGAATTATGGCTGAATATAAAAAAAGAATTATTATTATAAAATTAAAGGTCTATTTCTTACTTTATGCATTTTATTGTCAGTTACTGTACTTTTCAAATTGCTGAAAGAAAGAGAGATATTTTTTGAATACCAGCACCAGTTAGACTCACCATTGCTCAACCCCTTCTGCTTCCTGATCGGACAAAATACGTAGTAATACTTGACAGACAAGCCCTCTCCTCATTGGTTATACTATTTTCCTCTTGAAAATCATACTCGCGGTGGTAATGGGAGGGACTACGTACGTATTCAAAAGAAAGACACAACATGCTTCTTCTGTAATGCCTAGCGTACATTGGACTGGCAACTGAATATATCCGTCGCCTTTGAGTTGCTGCCCCGCACACATCGACAATCTGACGAAAACGGGCAACTCCCAGTAGCAGGCCAGTCTCGGGAATAACAGCGCGTACATCGACAGCAACTGGCCTCAACTACAGAGTGTTTTCTGACATAAACTGTAGAGGGCGCGCATATACACGCAATACACACATGTTGTTGGAGCGCGCACATTGGGTGATATCTCCGAATCTGAGGACAACTAGTTGCAGAAAAGTAGAACACGGGCAACTGACTGAAACTGGAGATCGACTGTTCATCTCCAGTTGAAAGAGCGCTCACATCGACCGATTTCGGCAACTGATCATCTCCCATCATCTCCTCTCAGTTGCCAAAAGCCGCCTTGCAACTAGTTGTCTCCAGTTACTCTGTCGATGTACGCTAGGCTTTATGGTGAAAGTCTATGGCACTCATGGCCTATTATAAATACATTTTAAATATTAAAGGATCAATGAATTTAGTTAGCGCACTTCCATATTCAGTCCCGCTGTATAGTTTTGTGCATCTGCAAAGGTGTGGTCACATTAAAGTTAGTAAACAGCAAAAACATACCGGTGCTCTAACGTTTAAGCAAAAATGAAAAGAATGAAATGACATGACGTGAATCGTTTATATATGACAGATTCATACTTCATTCAAGTAAGTAAAAACATTGGACGTGTTGGGTTTTCATTGGTCAGAGGAGCCTGTTCAGTGGTGTCGGGCCTGGGTCTTTCTCTTTAGGAGTATGCATGTTTTTTCTGGATGTCCGGGTGGGTTTCCTCCAGGCGCTCCAGTTTCCCTCATCCTCCAAAACAGGCTGCAGTATTTGAGTAAAGGAACTGTGACTTCAGTCTATGAGAGACTTTGACAAGCCCCTGAAGCACTTCACAAAAGCAAGGGTTTATTATGATTATTCGGCTGAAAAATAACACGCATTAATCGCTTTAAAAACAACTTAGAGTATTGTTGTATATTGTTTTTATTTTCTTGTTTTATTATGCATTTTTAGTTGCCTTTTGTGTGAACTGTGCCATGCAAATATTGTTTTCTTGCCTGAATGACAAGTGAAAACAACAATATAGCAAATCTATTACTTTAAACAAAAAAACTTACTATACAGAAAAGTAACTGACATCACCTTTAAGTATTCTATATTGTGCTATTTAGTGTTTGGCGTTTATGCGCAGGTTATAGTCATACAAAGTTGTGTTAGCAAAATCCACATCTGTGTGTTGTTCTTAACCATCAGGTCCACTCTTTCCAGCAGAGAAGCAAACCAAGCACGTTCTTTAGGCTGAATTGCACTGTTGCACTATTGACCCATTGACTCTGTCTTTTCTCCCCTTCCTCTGCTGCTGCCTGTCTGTCCAACAGTACATTCACTCTGCAGGATTGATACATAGAGTAAGTGCCTGATTGTCTGTCGTTTGTGTTACTGTAATCTGGAATGAAAATAATTACATACATACTGTGGATCAGGTGTCTCCAACCTTTTTCACCCAGAGAGCTACTTTCCCGGGATAATATCAAGGCAGAGAGCTACTTCTTTAAAAAAAAGAAAAAAATTGTGATGTATTGGTATGAACAAGCCTGATATTGGGTACAGTTGTTATTTATCATTGCATTTTTCTTGCTAGTGCACATAGTAGGTGCATTTACTATAAAAAGGAATGATAATGAATAATACAATCTGAAATTTAAAGTTTAAAGTTTAATTTGCTCAGTTCTAAATCCGTGGCGAGCTTCCTGGAAGAGGGAGGTGAGCTACTAGTGGCCTCTGAGCTACAGGTTGGAGACCCCTGCTGTAGATAATGCATTCAAAATGTTAGTTTATAATTTCCATACGTTATATATATATTGTAAATCTGAACAGTGCATAAGATGATTTTCAACTGTAAAAGGGTGAATATTTTTGACATTGATATTTCATGTATTTCCATATTATCATAGTTAATTCAATGCGTTTAGATGTCATAATTTTACAATATTATCAACATTTACGTTTACATGTTTTGTATATTTGAATTTTACATAATTATATGTGATACATTCACATATAAACACGCTCACAGGTGTTGGAAGGGGGTGACGCAGATCAAATTAGAACATGCAGTATAAAGCTAAGCCTTACATGTAATGAGATATGATATGATTCAGTGTAAAGCATAGTCTAACCTGTCATACATTGGTCTCTATGGTGAATACAATAAATGCATCAATTCTTATGAGAAAGTCGAACAGATAAACAGAGACATAGTAGAGGGTAATTAGATAATTAGAACATGGTATTTTTTCATAGAGGAAATGAACCAACGTTTTGAGATTAGCAACCACAGTAAAACAAACAACCAGCGATAATTTCAGCATTACTGGGTAATTAGCAAATATACCGTCTAATAACTTAATGTAATGAATCATTAAGGGGGAAGAAGAAAGGATTTTAGTAGTTATTATAATGTGTTCTCTTCTTTGCAGGACCTAAAGCCCAGTAATGTTGCTGTCAATGAAGACTGTGAACTCAGAGTAAGACTTTGACTCGCCAATATTATGTTGATTTTCTGCTCCGCAAATACTGTGTTCTCAGGAATACATCAGAATTGATAAATTGTGAATTTTAGATTCTAGACTTTGGCCTGGCCCGACAAACAGACGATGAAATGACAGGGTATGTGGCGACCCGCTGGTACAGAGCCCCTGAGATCATGCTCAACTGGATGCACTACAACCAAAATGGTGAGGAAGTGAGCGTGATTCCTGTTGGAATGAGCTGCAGACATGTTTACGCTGTTGTCTATGTTTCAGTTGACATATGGTCTGTAGGATGTATCATGGGAGAACTGATCAAAGGAAAGGTCCTGTTTCCCGGCACTGACTGTATCCTTTTACAAAGTATTGACTATAGAGTGGTGCATAATATGACTACTATTATTACACGTGCTGGGACGACACTGTTATGTGTGTATTCTGTTACAAGGTCCAATCTGAGTCCTGTGTTCTGAATACACAAATACAATCAGAAAAGTTTATAACACACAAACCTTTAAGGTGACTTTCATTGTATTGCTAGTATTTACCCTGTTGAATTGGCATGGTCAATTACTGCAACATTTTTTAAATGTAATTGAATTCCTTTACTCAACACATCACTCGTGGACTTTTATGAACAAAGGTTTAGAATGGAGTTATTCTTGATTAAAAATACAATGAACATGATGTCCATAATATCTTAGATCATCTACCAATCAATGAGCAGAATGAGCCTCTCATAGATATATTTACTAAATACCAAATATCACATACTCAAAATAGCATTGTACATTTGTTTCAATGAAAGGAGGTACAAGTTGTCAAATATAACACAACAAAACATGTTTCAGGTGGATTGCATCAGTAATCTATGCTTAGGGGCTGCATGTGTCGCAGGCAGGAAGAAGCTGGAAACATAAATTTATAAATCTTTAGTAATTTCAGTGACTTTATTAGACCACTAAGAGTGCATATTACAAAATATTCTTTAAGTTTTTAGCCGACCTACGATTTGTACATATGGGATGAATGTATATTTCTGATTTTTTTCTGCCCTTAACCAATTGTGAAATTAGATATTGACCAATTGAAACGAATCATGGAGGTGGTGGGGACACCGACACCTGACCTGCTGCAAAAAATTTGCTCTGAACATGTGAGTGGTGTGAATCTACAGCTCAGTGTTCACTGAGAAAATGTTGAAATCAATGACCTTTCCATTCCAACCTGGTAAATGGTCTGATTGATAATCCTCCAGGGGCTCAGTTGTTAAGTGAAGTGTCTGGACAGGTCATTGAAAGTGTGAAGGATCACTCATAGAAATACTTCATTACTACAAATGAAAGCAGTGTGATTAAAAAAAATATATTTATACTATCTATGTTCTCATCTCAAGCTGTATAAAGGATAACAATGAAGGTAAGAGAGATACATTTTCTGGACCTGGTGTCTCATTTAAACAGCTTCACTTCTTTATAACAGCAAGTTTGTTTATGGATGACTTGTATTTTGGTTTCACAATGTTAAAAACATGTGTCTACAGGTTGTGTCTAATGTGTACCACCTGAAATATATGACATGAAGAAATTGCTGACTGTTTGCTTTGCATTTTACAGGCACAGAAGTACATCCAGTCTCTGGCCTACATGCCGCCACAAGACTTGGAGAAGATCTTCAGAGGAGCAAACCCACTAGGTGATCCATTTGTTGTTGATTTGATTTACTAAGTGTTTAATGTAATTGAAAAAAACCACTGCGTCTCAAGTTGCGCCCCACGTGCTGCAGAATTGTCTTCCAGATGGTTCTAAAATGGCGTTTGTGCTTTCTGGTGCTTGTGTGTGTGATTCCTCCTCTCAGCCGTAGACCTGCTGAAGCACATGCTGGTGCTGGACTGTGATGGAAGGATCTCGGCGAGTGAAGCCCTGGCCCACCCGTACTTCTCCCAGTATCACGACCCCGAGGATGAGCCGGAAGCCCCGCCGTACGACCAAACGCTGGAGAGCAAAGACCGCACCCTGGAAGAATGGAAAGGTATTCCGGTCGCCAACCTTTTTCTCCTGGAGAGCTACTTTTACTACAGAAAAAAGTCAGAGAGCTACTGATTTTAGAGATAGCAATGGGAGTCTTTCTAGCTGGCACGAGCGCTGGTGTCTTTATCTTCTCTGTCTTCTGCACACTGGGGTAGTCTTGCACAGTTTTTCCAATGTGGTTTTACTGCAAATGGCATATAAATTCTTGATTCTTGAATTATAACTGGGATGACAAATCATAGATGGTACAGCAAATGGTACATGCTTATATTAAATTAAATTCAATGTATATTTGTATACCAATAGTTACCAATTCATAAAAATTAGATAATCAAACCGTTTGCACACAATACATGCAATAATAACAAACACATTGGTCCATAGGGATCTGACCAATGTCCATATATGTTATTTATTAACTTATATTTATCTATACCAGTGTTTCTAAAAATGGGGTGAGGGTAGCTGCTTTTGTTATGATGCAGATTATTACGTTTTCCTTTTTTATTTTTAGACACACAACAGCTCAATACGCAAGTCAATGTAGAGAAATGTTGAATACATTTGTAATGAAGCGCATGGACATTGCATGATTGTGTCTGCAACGTTTGCATGTAATAGGGCTTGATATTGTACTCAAACATGTTTCTACTAACTTTTAATGTGGATTGTTGGTCCAAACTGAAATACAGTGTTGATCTTGATGCTCTGTTGTCTGCACAAGAATATAGAAAATTAAAGTGAACATTTGTTGAGAATATCCATAAGTAATTAATCAAGTATATTAATCATAATAGATGTTAATTAAAATTTGTATTTCATGGGCACTATAACTAACTAACTATAATTTTGGACACTTCTTTCTGCTATGAATGTTTTGGTTGCCGTTCTCCTGCCAGGTACACAAGCTAGGATATATATCATTTAAAGTGCGAACGAAGTAATGTTTATAGCATTACCATAATGAAAAATAATATTGATGAGATCCTGACACCTCACTTTTCCCTAAACCTCTCAAACCTGAAGTTGTGAGCTTTCCTTTGTGTTTGAGTTTCAGCAACGTCAGCATCATAATACGAGATGGATCTCTGCATATTTTAAGTTAGAGTGATGTGTCAGTGCACATTGGATTTTTGGGAAGTATAAGCCCATAGAGTTGGCCTGCTTTAGTGTGTGCTAACACCCCACCCCTGACGCATGCAGACAAACTAGGACTTCTGTGTTGGAGCTGCGTTTTTATAGAGTACATGTCATAAAGAACTGAGTTTGCTGCACTCTGTGGAATACTCCACTTTTAGCTCTTTGGAAATGACCTCTGGACCACAGTTTCAAAAAAAAAAAAAAACAAGATTTCTCAATTCACATCGTTCTCAATGACCAAATAACAACTCCATGTTTATACATCGGCAAGTGTTATACCCCATGTTGATCAGCAGAGGTCTGCATGTGGGGCAACAATATACTTTACTCTTATTAAACACATGGGGTTTGATTGATTAACGTTAAGAGCTAAATATTAATAACTGAAATCCAGTAACGTATTTCTATTATGTTTGCAGAGTTGGTGTTTGAAGAGGTGAACAGTTTTAAAACAGTGGTCTGCACTGGTGACAGTCTTCATGCAGAGCAATAAGGCTCTAAGGGCTATGGACTCCATTTTGACAATGGTTGAAGAACAAAACCACATAAACCTTTGACCAAGGCCAAGAATATGCCCTGCTCAGTAGCGCCTGCCTCAGGTTCATCTGAGCACCATCTGGGGACAATCTCATGTATCAGAAAGATGTACTTCAGGGACGTGGTCGTGAATGGAAGGATTCATACAAAGATGCAACTTAAAATGTTTACAAAGAAGATTAAAACATGCACACTCTCCAAAGGGACGGCACGCGTCAATATAACTTTCATAGAAACTTACAAAGAGATCAGACATAACATTAGAAACACGTAGATCGAAAGAAAAAGAATGAGAGCAGTCGAACCACTTAAAGATACTGTACCCGGGACTTTTTTAATTGTATGAAATCTGTTTTCCCCCAGTGTTATGTTTGTAAGCAGGTTTTGATGTTCTGAAGGCATAGTTAACTGCATTTTCTTCACAAATGAAGTGTTTTAACCTCAGAAAAAAACGGTTTCTCACTGATGTGGCTATTAAGAAATGGGCAAAGAAGTGAGGAATAAGCTTGGCTGCTGCACATTGTTAAAAAGTTAGCTTTTTTTTTTATGTGAAGATCGGGTACAGTTCCTTTAACGTTAATGCGTTTGCAACAGGATAATGAAGCAGTTGCATATGGGCTGTATAATTAAAGTGTTTTGTTCAATCAGTATACAAATGGCTTGCTGCTATACCACACCATGAAAACTACAACTGCGTAGCAATTAGCTATCATACTCTGCATGAACCAAGCTCATATCAACAAAATATGAGTGTCTGTCTGTCTGTGTGTACTGTTGCAAACTCGTATTTTTCTACGAACTAATTCAACCACGCTATAGAATCAAACAGTCCTAGCATCATATAATAACAACACTATATGCAATTATTCTTTACTTTTCTAAATGATGGTCAACCACACAAGCCAAACCCACTGGGAAGATCCAGGAAGTACACGTTGTGATGTTGAAACAGCCTATTTCAAAATAATGTCACGACAGGAACTACACCATTACAATGTATTTACACTGGGTAACTATAGGAAACATTTTATATTTTAAATTAACAGACCCTAACCCTAGGAATAACTTGTTTTTAGGTCAATAATTTCAAAACGCAGTAGCTCTATAGACATGTAGGGCTGCAATATCAACTGGCCATTTATTATATTGTTTGAAAAAGTTGATATCATTGTTCAAAGTATTTTATGCAAGTTTAGTCTTTTCACATCACCAAATGTTTACATAGTCTTTCATTTGGGTTCAATAAGAAACTTGAAACTGAAAACTTTATTATGTAGCTAAAGAAACACTGTCTCGGTAAGACAAGATAATAATCAGGCTACATGTAAAAAATAATGAATGCTACCTATGACTTCATTTCTGATTGATATTTCTTTTTCATTTGGAAGGTACAGTCAGAATATTCCCCCAAATTGACACATTTTGAAGTACGGCATTTAAGAGCTTGATTTGATTGTTAGTGTAAAATGGGTCATGTAAATGGTGAATGTCAACAGTACCTGCAAATTGAATGTATACTGTATGTATGTTCTGTGTGTACTTGAGTACTTGTTTATGCATGTACTTTTGCTGTAATCGACACTATCTGAGATCGATCCATCTACAGCTATAGTGAAGGTTTTGGCCTGAGTGAAATAAATGCTTTTCATAATAACTGACTTGTATCAAATAATTGTCTGTGGGGATTAACATAGATACTTTATTCGTCGCACAGTTAGACAATGTCAGTGTTGCATCATAAGTTACAGAACAGTAGTACTGAGGGACACACAACACAAAATAATTGAATATTATGTGCGAGAAATATAAATTTGTATGTGAACATCTGTAGATTATATTCATTTTTGAACAATACGACCTGATATTAAAGAGGATTGAGGGCTTTAGCTGCAGACTGTGTTCAGTTGTGTACAGGCTACTTTTACTGACATCTGGTGGTGAAAACCTAACCATTCCTTGTTCAATTTTTAGCTGTTCAAATGACAAAACTAAATCTATTCATTCATCTGTCGCCAGAATATTTACCCAAACCTTACAACTCAATTTTTTAAGCAAATAAACACAATTGATTTGCCACAAGCCAATGGCAAAAAGGACATTTATCATAGATTATTTCAGCCTCGTAGTCCATAGTGTGCCAAATTGTGTGATATCACATACGTTATATACACATATAAAGCTGGTGAACTTCCAAGCCATGGCAAAGTAAATGTGTAATTAAATCTATTTCATTCCCCGCTCCGAAAGAATTTGGTTCTATCTCTAGAAGTCAACAAAAACATGTATTTTCCCCTGTGATGAATCTTTAGAACAGCCTTTTCAGACCGAAAAGTGAGCAAGAGCCAATCAGCTCTCAGCCCAAAACGTCAAATAGTGACTAGCCAGGCTCTTTTTAGTCAGTATGCAACAGATAAAACATGTTCTAATACGTTGAAGACAGCATGATGTGGTCTGATTTGTCTTACATTTTTACTTTCATAAAACTCCTTTTTTTTAATGTATTAGAGGTTTTCTTTTTTTTTTCTTAGCAAAATAAACGCTAAAATAAAGTTGGTATGCCAGCTTTAATCTCTTCATACAGAGGAACAATGCGCCCTCTGCTGGCTGGTACCACTCACAATCAAAGAAAGCAACCCGAAAAGTAGATGGGGGGTTAATTGAACAAGGGTGGGCAGATGTTGGAGACCCACCAGAGAATGGCCTGGGCTTTCAAATAGGGTCCAAAACAATGCGCAAGGGTGTGTGTGGGTGTGTGTGTGCGTGGGTGTGTGCGCGCGTCTGACGGAATTTGCACCAAACTTTCAGTGCGCACCAGTTTGAGAGACTGCGTGTTCCTCATGTGAAGACGGGGATTTCAGCCGCAGAAATAGTCGCTCAAGTCTCCACACAGTGCGCCATGGCTTTGCGCTCCAGCAGGACGGGTTTCTACCGGCAGGACGTGAACAGGACCGGCTGGGAGGTCCCGGAGCGATATCGAGACCTCAAGCAGATTGGGACAGGAGCGTATGGGACTGTCTGGTAAGGCTTAAAGCTGGGGTACCTAACTTTTAAAACATAAACAAAAGTGTATGTAATGGAATACTTTTAAATAGTGCATGGCTTGGAAACAGTTTGGTTCTGTCATTCGTGTGTTTATGTATATATATTTGACCTCTATCACATCCATAGATTGGCATTTTAGACAATAAAATGAAAAGTAAGTACCCCTGTCACTCCCAAAGCATCAAGTGACTCACAAATCTTTTCTTCCAACTTTTTAAATACAATATCGTGGTCTGAACATTTTACATGACTTTGTTGGGAAAAAATCATCAGCTGAGGCATTCAAAGAGAGTAGAATTTGGGCTCTATTGGTGATGATACATATAGACCTAGGACCTGTGGGTAAGGCTTTATGATTAATTGACACTTCAACATTTTTGTATGTTGTTTTGTGAAGATTCCTGCCATTACATTACCATTTTAAGGAGACAAACAGCCCAGTGATGGCCTCCACCAGACCATATGAAGTGCTCTTAAACTCATAATGACATATAAAACCATAGTGTGCTAAATGCTGACCACTCCTTGGGTCCGCAGCTGGCCCTGCAGGGCCTCCCTTTGCTTTGTCATGAGTGGATGATGGTCAACAAAGACACAACCCCCAGTCTCATTGTGCCCCAGTCAAAGAGCTGGACGGAATGCACCACAACAGGGCTTTAAAAATAATTAACATCAATTTTATGATATCAACATCTCAGTTATTAAGGGAGACGGTCCCTGAAGTTAATGTAAATATTGTTATATGTTGAACCCTTTATTAGAGAGATCCAACAAACTTGCCTTAAGCTTTTCTTCAAATATTTTCAACTGATAAGAATAGACCATGTGTTGTGTGGCTATGGTAAAAACAATAATTTGAGTAGTGTTGTGCGTGCTGACAAAGATGGTCAGGTAATATCAGTCAATTAAATGTATATAATGTATACAGCATTGAAGATTTCAGGTCGGTTTCTAAACTAAATAAACACAAATCATACAGATGTTGTCAATGCATTCCACTGCAAATACTAAACATGGGCAAGATTGGGAGTAGAAATGATATAGACATTTTGTAAAAATGTGAGTCGCTCTGCTTCAGGTGCTTCAAGACGAGAAGTGTAACCCAAATGTACACTTCCTGTTCTTGAAACGATTATTATCACATTTTGTACTCAAGTTAGCAACGACTGAAATGGCACCTATTGTTGACATGAAGCTGGTAGAAGTGAAATCCATATACTGATTATTTTACCGATTATTTTGGTAGTATTTTGGTAGTATTTTGGTAGTATTTTGGGTGGATATATGAATCATATTGGATTGTGTCATTGTCTTCAGTTCAGCGTGGGACAGACGAACAGGAGCTCAAGTTGCCATCAAAAAACTTCACAGACCTTTTCAGTCCAAGCTCTTTGCCAAACGGGCTTACAGAGAACTACGACTGCTGAAACACATGAAGCATGAAAATGTAAGCTTGTATAACTTTTACTAATTATAACTACAGACGCATGTGGTCTAAGTCTATTGCTGTGTCACAGGTGATTGGGTTGCTGGATGTCTTCACCGCGGAGATTGCATTGGACCGCTTTAAAGACTTGTGAGTATTGATCCATCTCTCTCTACTGTTCTCTCACCTCAATCTAGTTTTTCAGCTGTTGGTTATTGTCAGGTCTAACATAGGAATCCATCTATACACAAATTCACTGTCCCTTCTTCTGTGCCCGTTTAAACATACAACCCCTTTCTGTCAATCCATCACTATCACAAATGAAGAGGAAGTCTGTTTTTCACTTTGAATAAATAACACTTTTTGAATGTCTACCACCTGTTTTCCTTTGGGGTCCGGGGATGTTATTTATTTGTACGAGGAAAAACCTTCGGGAAAAATGTTATATCTTTATGAAGCCAAGAATTGGAAGTCGTTTTCTTGGTGTGGATAGTTCTCTCGCTTCTCAGATAGAAGGTCCTGCGTTTAAATCTTGGATGGAACAAGGTCTCTCTGAGTATAATTTGCATGTTCTCTGTTAATGTTAAGGTTGTGTCGTCTAAACTGTTTACTTGTTTTAGATTGTATCCTGCTTTAGTCTGTCTTATCTACTGCGCCCAATGACAACGTCTTCTTGTTTGACTGTGTGCAGTTATTTGGTGATGCCGTACATGGGGACAGATCTGGGTAAACTGATGAAGCTGGAGAGGCTGACGGAGGACAGAGTGCAGTTTCTTGTTTATCAGATGCTGCGAGGACTCAAGGTTATCATGCAGAACATTTCATTTAGTTAAAAGGGCTAATAGTGTCCTGTTCCACCAAACACATGTCAAGTGACTATATTTATTTCGAAGCAGTTAAGCATAATTAGATTTTACTCAAGACATATTTGTTCTAAAAGCACCTCCTCTTCAGACGCCATTTAGTATTTGCAATCACAATTGATCTTAGTAAGGTTTTGGAGTTTTTCAAAAGACTCCATCTGGATCATTTCATACAATTAAATGTTTTAAAATTTAAGACAAAACGCAAGAGTTAGATGACCAAGCCCAAAGTCCAGACCTAAACCTAATCAAGAAATAGTGTAAAGATATTTTTATTTTTTTAAACTGCTGATCACATACTCTCTCCATCTACTTTGACAGAGATTGAGCTGAGAGTGTAGTGTATTTTAGATGCCTAGTAACCAGAATTAAACACATCTTATTGCCTGGAATGAGCAACTGTCTAAGCTGTTCAGCATAGACTTGGTTCCATCATGCTCTGGGGTTTTGTTGCAATATTATTAAATTAAAATGATGTATTAGATAAAAAACAAAAAAAATATTTAATTGTGAAAATAAGCAACAAAGTGCTGATCTGAATGTCAAACAATGCAAGTTCAACTCCAAGCTCCATCATGTATTATCTCAATAGTAATAAGCTGAAAGTTTGATAATAAACATGCTGTTTAAAAAGGGTCAGCATTAAAGAGTTTGAGTTTGTTTTGCTGAGAGTAACTTGTGTCTGTTTTATATCCTCAGTATATCCACTCTGCAGGGATCATCCACAGGGTAGGTGACCTTTTGACTTCTGAGCCTGACCCCCTGAGGGCGGAGCCTGTTCTTTTCATCAAATGGTTCTCTTTTCATCTGTATTCACACTCAAGATTTACCACTTTCACCTGCAGCCAGTGCCACAAGGGCTCTAACATCTATCATATGCAGTCTGTTTTATTACAATATTTCTCTTCTAAACGTGCAGCAAACAGACCCATTTACACTGTTCCGTTTTACTGGCCTATGCATAATTTCTTTCACTTTGGGTATAACCATGTATATATAAATATATATGAACTTGAACTCAATCCATTTTTATAATTTGTATGCAAATTGTGTGAATAGGAATCACACTATCAGCAGCTGGCATTACCTTTCTTTAATTCTGCAAGTAATGGCAATGTTTCCTTTTCTTAATTTATTTTTAACTTTTTTGATAGAAGACCTTTGCATAATTAGATTACATTGGGGCATTGCACATAGAACTAATTGTTCAATAAAAAAAAACAGAGCCTTCCCCATCACAAAATGTCCTGTCTCCAAATAACCACCAGACCTCTTCTTAACACAATTTGTGTATCTGAAGAGGGGACCGTTTTATAATTTATGATTTTTAATTGATGGTATACCATAATGTTTCTGGTATCTCCCTAAAGGACCTCAAGCCGGGGAATTTAGCCATCAATCCAGACTGTGAATTGAAGGTAAAACAACATAAAAGTTGTTTCACATAATGTTGCAAAGACGAGCTTTTGATACTATATTTTAAATGTTATCCCAGATCTTGGACTTTGGCTTGGCTCGACAGGCGGATGCAGAGATGACCGGTTATGTTGTAACTCGCTGGTACAGGGCGCCTGAAGTGATTCTCAACTGGATGCACTACTCACAAACAGGTAGTGTCCGCTGAATCCAAACGACTAACTAGCTATGGATCATTTTAAAATACAACTATTGATGTTTCTGCTTGCCTGTGTTTGTATTGCAGTGGACATCTGGTCTGCCGGCTGCATCATGGCAGAGATGCTGCTGGGGAAACCACTTTTTAAAGGAAATGACCGTATCCTTAATCCTCCACAGGAAATCGTAAATCAAGCTTTTGTGAGAAATGAAAACAGGCCGCCGCGATCGTAGGCACTCGTGACACTATTATTATAGTATTCAGCAGTTTTGCCAGATTGGACAAAGTAAGGCAAAGCTTTTTATACTATGTGTATCAATGTGCATAAGAACAGAGATCATCATCACTTGAGACATTAATAACTCATACTTAAGATATATATTGGTTAGCAAAGTGGGTCAGAACAAATGTGTTCAGTTCTTGAGATAATAATGTTTCAGGAGCAGCGTTGGGGAGTAACAGAATAGTTATAGAATATAGTTACTCAGAATACTGAGTGACTATATTACCTTACAGTTACTGCTTTTGAGTCTAGTATTTAGAATACAGATGCTATCTTAGAATCACGGGAATAATAATACAATTCTGGTTGGTAAATGGCAGCTGTTGAAGCACAACAAATCATTGAATAATTACTGAAAAAGTTTTATTTATTTAAACATTTATTGAGGTTTTCAACATTTTGAAATGTACCTTAATAAATGTTGTAAAGAAACATTAGTTTACAATTAATATAAATAATAAATAAAAGTATTGTAAGTATTTGGAATACAGGAACTACTTTTTCCAAAGTAACGGAATACTAAACAAAATACATTTTAGGCATACATTTTAGGCCATGTATTTAGTGTTCTGGAATACATTTTTTTGTATTACAGCAGTAATACAGAAAATATGCAGGTCAGATTCTACACTTTAAATGTATGTATGATCCTTTACTCTGAGCCACTGCAGACTTGGACCAGCTCAGAGAAATCATGAAGATCACAGGAACACCCATCCCTGAGTTTGTGATGAAGCTACAAAGCCAAGATGTAAGTTTTACAAACTCTGGTAAAGGGCTTATTGAGATAGACTTGCCAACTGTAATCATGCTGTCATCAGGGTGGTAGACGTGATATGAGTCTACCATATAAGTTGCAATTACAGTAGTAGAAACAAAAGGTAAGATTTGGATGATAGCCACATAATTTGAACTAAAATGACCAATAATGAGTAAACATTATTGAAACTCTTGCACCTTAAAAGGAACAATATGTAAAAATCTGGCCAAAAGTGGTACTGCAGTCACAGTCAATATTTTGTAGTCCTCTCCCACTCTCCCTGACTCAGGTTGCCAGATTCACACCAAATCCAGCAGCAAACACAGGGAATTATTTTATCAGTTGTTTGTCCGTCTCCATTCACATTGCCATGACAGCCGTGCTAATGCTGAATGAATGTTTTGATTCATGTTTTTTTATTATTATTATTTGGACATTTGAGATAAAAAACAAAAACAAAATAAAAGCAATGTAATTATACATAGTTTATGCAAAATACATAAGCAATTGATGTCCAAAATAGGAGTGGGAAGAATGGATGTTGGAACGTATTTCTTCAGCGTATCAACATCAGGGTTTGCTCAAGAGGATATCACCTTTCAATTTTATTTATTCCCTATTTTTTAGACAAACATGTAAAAGTCCCACATCAAAAAGAGACTAACATTATTTTAATTGGGGTACATGTGGTCTTAAATGATTATTTTTACAATTAAGCTATAATCTGCAAAAAAACGTCTTGACCTTCGTCTTTTACCGTTTTTAGAGCAATCTGTCATAGAATGTGATAACATGCAATTAAGGAATCGAACCCAGGTTTCTGCATCGTAAGCGCACAGTTTAGACCACTAGACCACCGATTCACTCAGGTAGAGTCACTGTGAAGAACGGACTCAAACTAGCAAATTCTGCATCACACGTAAACTTTTATCAGCTGTCTCAATTGTTCAAAGGCTTCCCGATATAAATCCTCGTTTTAGTCTTTGTTTTGTCATTAATGATTTGAGAGTCATAACAAGACCTTTTTTAGTTCTGCGCCACATGTTATTTGGTACTCCCCCTGACCTGTGGAGTACCACAGGGGTCGATCCTGGGACCTCTTCTTTTCAATCTCTACATGCTGCCGTTAGGTCAGTTAATACGCAGAAACGAAGTTTCCTATCATAACTATGCAGATGACACTCAGATCTATGTCTCACTGACTGCAGGAGAACATGGACCAGTGGACTCACTCCTTCACTGTATCCAACAGATCAGTGAGTGGATGCAAAACAACTTCCTTCAGCTAAACGCAGACAAAACTGAAATGATTGTCTTTGGTCCCCAGAAACAAAGAGAGAGCGTCATCTGTCATCTACAGTCTCTCTCCCTAAAACCTTCAAACAAGGTCAGAAATCCAGGGGTAATACTGGACTCAGACTTAAATTTTAATAGCCACATCAAATCAGTAACATCAGCAGCTTTTTACCATCTAAAAAACATTTCCAGGATCAAAAACATAGTGTCTAAAGCAGACTTGGAGATTCTTATCCATGCATTTGTCTCCAGTAGGTTAGACTACTGCAATGGCCTGCTCACAGGTCTGTCCAAACAGGCTGTAAAACAGCTGCAGTACATTCAAAATGCAGCAGCTCGAGTCCTGACTAGAACCAGGAAGTACGACCATATTAGTCCGGTCCTCAGGTCTCTGCACTGGCTTCCTGTGGCTCAGAGAATAGACTTTAAAACAGCTTTGCTTGTGTACAAGTCTCTCCATGGCCTCGCACCAAAATATATTAGTGACATGTTAGTCCCATATGAACCAGCCAGGACTCTGAGGAGCACAGGGACTGGACTCCTGTTAGTGCCCAGAGTCAGAACTAAACATGGGGAGGCTGCTTTTCAGATTCATGCTGCTAAAATCTGGAACACTCTTCCTGAAGATGTGAGACAGGCCTCCTCTCTGACTATGTTTAAAACCAAGTTAAAAACAGTGCTGTTTAGCTGTGCATACAACTGAGGGACTTTATATTTTTATCTTTCTTTTTAATGTTCTGTGATTATTTATGATTTTAATGCTATCTTGTTCAGCACTTTGAGTTGCCTTGTGTATGAATTGTGCTATACAAATAAACTTGCCTTGCCTTGCCTTGCCTTATTTTACCACTGAGATTAGTGAGCCGCACGGAGTTCTGGCAACCCGATTACGGACTTACATGACACTTCCTGATTGGCAAAACGGCGGAGGGTAGGACTTCAAAATCAAAACAATAACAACTTTTACGGGTCGTAAAACTAATTTTGATATTCAAATATCTCGGATGAACTACTGTTATCAGTTAAAGATGTGTTTGAAAAGAACATGATTTATTAATGCCTTTTGAAATATTTGGGTCATTTAATGATGACTTGACATGCAAATATTACATATTGCTCCTTTAACAACAGTTTCGGTGCATACATACTTACATACATACATTTCTCCAATAGGCCAGAAGCTACCTCAGAAGTATACCAAAGGTGTCTAAGAAAGACTTGCACACAATACTCTCCAAAGCTAGCCCAGATGGTATGTATATTGTACATTTCTGTTTTAGTATCTTCAATCACCTCTCACATAAGCCTGTTGTATTGTTAACGCGGCCTTTCCTTTCATCTGTTATTTAGCAGTGAGTGTGTTGGAGAAGATGCTCTTATTGGACCCAGAGGAGCGGGTCAGTGCCTCAGAGTCACTGGAGCTTCCGTTCTTCAGTGAGTTTAGAGACACTGACGAAGAAACCGAAGCACAGCCATACGACCAGACCATGGACAACACTGACCTGCCCCTCGACCAGTGGAAACGTAAGACAGGGCAGGCCTGAATATTTGGGGTGGAATGGCCGCGTGCTGGCCCTCAGTGTTTTTCCCGAATGTGGAAGAAGCCAATTTGAACATAAGCTAGATGGAGCTGCTTTCCTTATGTGGGCCTTTCTTCTGAGGTGTTAGCGACAGTGGCAGATGTGTTGCTAAGACGGTTGCTAAGGCAAGCTGGAGTTTTCCGCTGAACAAAGGCTTATGATTGATCGATTTGAAATTTCTGAAATTTCTCCACTGTTAGACTGATAAAGGTTTATCTTATTTTATCTTATGGCTCATATCCGGATTTGCAAACTATAAATACCAGGATCATAGAGGGCGCGAAACCAAATTTTTTTAAGCTCAAAATGATCAGTGTGAAACAAACTTAGTGAGCTAGAAGAGTTTACATTGCGATGTATGTAAATTGGAGCAAAACTGTTCATGAGCTCTTCCCTATTAGGCTTCAGTGAGCTAGAGAGTTAGCCTTGTCCAACTCAATACAGTCAATGCTTGAATATGAAATTATGAGAAAAGCAACCCCCCCTTAAACAATCTTACTCTTGATATAACTGCAGATGCGATGAGAAATGTTTTGCCAGCAGTACCTATAGTTTGCCAGAAGAGGTCCTCACACAAACACACTACCATAAACTCATATTTTACAAAGGATTATTTATTTTATCAATATCTAATGTGATTTTTAAAAACAGTGAACCAACTAAATCTGCAATTTTCCCTTCTGTCCAGGTCACACGTTCACAGAGATTTTGACCTTCAGACCTCCCAAAGACTCTAGAGAGACCACCCTTTGAAGCACTCGGCCCCGTTCATTCAGCCTATGCACGTGTGTGGGGAACATTTGCACATTTGCATTTATCTTCTTTTATGGTACCGATGCTACTGTTTTAATGTTAATAAATGTGAATTGTATCTGCTTTATTGTGAGTATGTACTGTGTAGCATATAGCTGACATAATCCATGGTTATATGTAGTAATCAGTGAAGGGAAGTGTCTCTTATAAAATGACCCAACACTGTTATGAGTCACTGTCATAAAACTGTAAACATAAACGAGACATTTGAGAAATTTAACACTTTTATAGGCTCTAGTATACTTTTTTGCTTCAGTGGATCTAAAAAAATAAATTAAAAAAACAGAATTTCCTTTAATACAAATAATAAATTGGTTTTATATAGCGTTTTTCTGGACACTCAAAGGTGTTTTACGTGTAGTTATACATTTCCTGCAAACACGGAGTAACTACAACAGCAGCCACAGTTACTTTGGCACTTTATAGCCACAGCTGTCCCACCTGGTGTTCCCAAAGGTCCCCCATCACAGTACTAGCCAAACCCTGTCCTGCTTAGCTTCAGAGGTCTGACGGGATCTGGCTTTCAAATGCAGGTATGACCACAAACCTTTGCACAGCCACTTGTACGTACGCTACTTGAACATGAGCAATGTGACTCACAGTTCTGACTGACACGGTGAAGGATCTGGAAGTTCTTCAATTTTGATCATCTTGGCGCTTGGGGACGTCGACCGTGGAGATGTGTCCTCTGGAGCTTGATCCGCATCAGGGATCTCCCTCACTGGTACAGGAGGGGCCAACACTTTCCCATTCACTTCTTCTATGTTGATTTGCATAAGAGGTTTCTACATACGATGAAAATGCATATCTCAAATTCCAATTAAAAGTTATTCATTTTGGAAATACAGTTAAAGATGTGTTCAAAAAGAGCATGATTTATTAATGCCTTTTGACATATTAGGGCCATTTAATTATGACTTGACATGCAAATCTTACATATTGCTACTTTAGTAATAAAAATAAAAATATGTATATCATTCATAATCTATTCATCATTTTCTTGAAGAATCCTAATGTGAAATGTTATTCAAGCTGCAAAGTAACTCACTGTGGACTGCAGATGTTTCGGTTTATCTATTGGTTTGACGGTTCTTCTTGGTGTGCAATCAGGGGACAGTACACATCCAGTAGAAACATCCTAATGAAAAGGCAATATTTGATTTACTTCAAACTCTGGTTTTCTCATTAGTCATGATTCTGGTCCTTGTATGCACTAGACCTGTATTTTTTGAAGCTCGTTCAAGGCTTGCTTGTTTCCAGGTTCAAGTTTCTGAAAATCTGTGAATGTGTCACAATGAAAGTAAGAAAAAATGACAGATATCGTTCAAATAACTTTCAGGAGACACACCTGAACCACGAAAGGGTGCTATGGCACGCACACCTCAGTCTCATATCGCTCTCCTCACCATTACTCCAACCAGTGCCATTTCGCCTTTAAAATAAAATCACATCAAGTTCTTCGCATAAGAGATACACATGATTTACAACTGCTTATGACCGAATCTACATGGAGAAACACAGGTAACATCAGAGACAATTATCACATTCACAGGTTGTCTGTGTTAAACAATTATGACCAAATAAAAGTGCAAAATACAAAGCATGCAAATCACAAATAAATGTAAACACACACAAAAAACAAGTCATTAGTGACAGGCAGAATTCGCACTGGGTAGCAACATTTAGCACTACCGGTTGCTGTATAGCTACATGCTATCAAACACTAAATGGAACATGTTACTGCCCTGATGATCCTGCCAGCGAACGCCAAATGTAGCATGACGAGAGTGTGGTGGATATTTTAGCTGGATCCACATTAAATTAACATAAAACGACGTAGGTCCGTTGTGATAACAGAGGCTGATACCGAGGTTACAAAAATCAGTACATTTATTAACATGATTCTGTTCACTGTAACATGATTCTGAACACGGTAACATGATTCTGGTCACGGTAACATGATTCTGGTCACGGTAACATGATTCTGAACACGGTAACATGATTCTGAACACGGTAACATGATTCTGAACACAAACATGATATAAACACGGTAACATGATTCTGGTCACGGTAACATGATTCTGAACACGGTAACATGATTCTGAACACGGTAACATGATTCTGAACACAAACATGATATAAACACGGTAACATGATTCTGGTCACGGTAACATGATTCTGAACACGGTAACATGAATCTGAACACGGTAACATGATTCTGAACACGGTAACATGATTCTGAGCACTTATAATACATTGTTGTGCTATCCGATGGTTGCTCTGGGACAGCAGTCAACTTTGTCACAGGAATCTGGGTAAGGCAAAGCGGCGACAGTGGCTCCATGGCGTCAATCTGGGTTAGCGCGGTAGCCCCTCACACACATGAGCTGGGTTGGGTTGAAAGCCAGCACCGCCAACACCGCCAGTGTACAGCCAACACCGGCTGTACACTGGCCAAGTCACGGCAACACAAGCAGACCCATGGCAGCAGCACTGAGAGTGGGAACAGCGACGTAACGTGACATCCGGAAGAAAGAGAGTGAGGTCAGAGGACGAATGAAAGGAGACCATTATTACCAGGATCTATTATAATAACTGGATAGGGTATTACTAGCTTGTAGCTGAATAACTCACGTGCTCGGGGGATTCTCGCGGTACTGCAGACTGAACCAGACTAAATTCACGCGGGCTACCCAGAAATTATCCCCATAGGACTCAATGCATATTAAAACAGCTCAACCTCAGCTGACAGAGAACCTACAGCTTTCATAAAGGTCGGATTTTGTGGGGATTTTAGTGTCCCTTGTCATGCTGAACTTTTTTTGTTCTTACAAAACAGCATTCTACAACATGTATGGACATTCTACAACATGTATGGACATTTTCTTCTGTGTGTACTTTATATTCTTCATGTGTTTTAACTGTTGATTCTCTGACCTGTGTTGGTGATTTCAATGGTTTTGTTAAGTCCTCTGAGATGACTTCTGTTGTGACCTAGGGCTATACAAGAATAAATTGTATTGTGTAAATTGTACATCCTTCGGTTTTGTTTAAATCCACACTTTAGTGCCACAAACTGCCCGTCTGGCTCTCGCGCTAACTCCCGCTCTGATAAACTGTTCTGATTGGTCAGAGCGCGGCCGAGCCCCTCTGTGCACGTGCGGTGAGACCCACACACGCGTGTTTGGCGCAACGCATTATGGGAGTTCATCCACTGCGCAGAACCGGGAGGACCAGACGATGCCCAAATACAGGCGAGTTTCCCATAGATCTTTGCGAGTTCCAGGCGACTTCCGCTAATATTTCTTTTTTTGTTGTTTTTTTTTATTTTTTATTACAATATACATACTCTCTCGTTAGGAGACAACAATATTGTTCGGAATATTACAAAAATAAAAAGCAAACATACATACATTCAGAAAGGCATACATTTAGTAAAACAAGTTACAACAACAAATATTTCGAGACATCACAAATATTTTCAATATCTTTTGATGAGTTCTTTAATAATGAAAGGGAAGCAAAATAGTCTTTGAGTTCAATTTTGAATTTTGTGAGGGATGGAATATTATTTTGCCATTTGGTTTTGTGTAAGTGGTATTTACCCATAATTATAACAATATTACAAATCTTTGGTGAATTCTTGTTACCAAAAAGCACTTGCTCCAATTCTAAATATGCATTTTTATTTATTTTAATTTTTAACCAATTTATTACTGCTTGCCAAAAGAGTTTTGTTTTGTCACAACTGAAGAAGAGATGTTCAATTGTTTCTTCTTCTTCTGCACAAAAGGCACATGGCTCCACCTCAAATCCAAATCTTTTTCTGAGTATTGCTGCTGCTGGATAGTAATTGTTAATAATCTTAAATTGCATTTCTTTGACTTTAGGGGGTATCGACCACTTCATGAATTGAATACATCTTTTAGCTCTAATACTGCCATCTGTACTATATATCTTAACATGTCTATCAAAATTGTGAAAGAAATTGCACTTAATCAGCACATAAACAAACTACTTATTACATTTGTTGTCTTTTAAAGAGATAAAATCTAATTGTAGTTTTGGTAAAGATATCTGACCATTTAAAATCTGCAGATAATTTTGTATTAAAGTCAATAGAGCGACAGGTATTGCTCTGCACACTTTATTAAACTCCCTATTTGAGCATTGAATGTTGAATTTTGTCTTAAAATCCATGAAATTCATTAAGTTTCCTTGGTCATCCAAAATATCAGAGATGAAATTTATATTATTCTTGTGCCAGCTTTGAATGAATAACGATTTCCTATTTGATGTTATTGCTCGATTATTCCACAAGGTAGAGCCATGAGGAGTAAAATTGTGGGTAAATGCAGATTTTCCAGTAATGCAAAACTTGTTTATAATAATCAGACAATTTCAAAGGCAATTTGGATATTTCGAAATCACATTTCAAAAGGAACTCAAACCCCCCTACTTGATCGAAAATGTGTTTGGAAATACTATACCAAAGTAAATCAGGATTTGCTAGAAAAGACTTTATCCAAATAATTCTAAAAACGCCAATCATTGACTCAAAGTCAATAGTTTTCAAGCCTCCTTTATCATAGTCTTTGACGAGTTGTGCCTTCTTTATATAATGAGTTTTATTACGCCAAATGAATTGATATAGTCTTGAGTTTACTTTTCTTATAGTTTGGGGAGAGATGTAAAGAGAATAGCTTGGATAAACTAATTTAGAGATACCTTCTGATTTTGATAATAAATTCCGGCCAAATATAGCTAGGTCTCTTGATGACCAGTGGTTAAGACTTTTTGTTATTTCTTCAATTTTCCCATTAAAATTAGTTTCTTCTCTTGTTTTGACATCTTTGGACAGCTGAATTCCCAGGTATTTGATTTGGGTTTTCACAGGAATTGATTCTAACTCGTTATCTGGGCAATTATACAAGGGAAGTAATTCACACTTTTTCAGGTTCAGGCAAAGCCCTGATGCTTTGGAGAAAACTGATAAAACATCTAAAGCTTTTTTAAGAATGGATTAGTCCTTCAGAAAGATTACAGTATCATCAGCAAATTGACTCAATCTAAATTCATGTGTCATTTATTTTAATTCCTTTTAATTCGTTATTGTTTAATATGAGATAAGCCATTAGTATGAATAATTTAGGTGAAATTGGACAATCTTGCCGAATTCCACAAGAGACATTAATTCTAGGGGTGATTCCGCCATGTAGAGAGATATAACTATAGATTTCATGATAAAACCTTTTGATAATTTTACAAAATTTAGGACCAAAACCAAAAAACTGCAGGGTATGGAGTAAAAAATCATGCTCAATGGAGTCAAAGGCCTTGAAAAAATCTATGAAGAGAATCAAGTTTTCTGAATTTAAACTAGTGTGATAATCCATCATATCTAAGATTTACCTGACATTGTTTTGTATAAATCTGCCTTTGATGAAAGCGGACTGATATTCACCTATTAATAGGTGCAAAATGTTTTTAATTCTATTTGCGTATACAAGGGCAATTAGTTTATAGTCATTGCACAGTAGTGTTATTGGTCTCCAATTATCAAGTTCTAACAAGTCTTTATTGGGCTTAGGCAACAAAGTTATTAAACCAGTTTTCATTGTTGGGGATAATTTGCCATAGAAAATTATATCTTTATATGCATTAAATAATAGTTTGTTTTATATCTTGCCAAAACGTTTTATTCTATCGTTAGTCCATCTATTCCGGGTGATTTCCCCTGTTTCATTTCTTTGAGACCATTTTCAATCTCTGATAAGGTGAGCTCTTCTCTGGTAATTGTTTATCTCTACTTGATATTTTATTCCCATTGTTTTGAATTAAGTTAAAAAAAAGTCACATTTATCTTTCTGAAATTTATTCATATATAAGTTACAGTAGAAATTGGTTACTTCTTCCATTATTTTAGTAGGGTCCTCAATAACAATATCGTCTTTAGTTAATTTGGTGATATTTTTTTCTAGATTGATGTCTTTTTTCAAGACTGTAAAAATATGTTGAATTTTTCTCCCCCTGTTCAATCCATTTGGCTCTGGATCTTACATATGCTCCTTTTGCCTTCTCTAAGTACATATTATCTAAATCGGTTTTGAAGCAAATGTAACAGCTCTGTTTCTTCATCAGTTAAAGTTGACTTTTCACATAAATTACTTATTTTTTCTACCATCTCTTTTTGTAAGGATTTGCGAGCCTCTACAATCTTTTTACTTGTCCCAATAGCTATCTGCTTTACTTTGAATTTGAACCATTCCCATTTACTAATATTTGACAGTTCCAGCAAAGATGTTTCAGTGACAATTGTGTGAACTTGCTTACAAAAATCTTCATTAAGTAACAATGAATTATTAAGTTTCCATACATTAACAGATTAATCTTTTTTGTTTCCTGAAACATATGAATATTACAATGATCTGTAAGAGGGGATGTTTGAATATCACAGTTAGTGATTGTATTTATTAACGTTTGGGACACCAGCCAGTAATCAAGCCGTAAACATATATTAGGGTCTACTGGGCTTACCCAAGTACATATAATCGAATCTGGGTTTGCTATTCTCCAGTAGTCAATCAAATTATTGTTTAAACAAAAGTTGTCCATAATACTATTATATATCGGTTGTGGTCCTTTAGGAGGTTTTCTGTCAAGCCAAGAATCAGGGGCAATG